GTCCCTGCCCAGCACCCACATGTCCATCACTTGGCCCAATCAGGCACCATCCAAAACTGGAGATGCTTTCCAGGTGCCAGGCAAGATGTCCTTGACTCTCTGAGAAAGGGATGTTAGTATGACTATATATCTGCCATACTCCATATAATCCCCCCTCCCATTTTCCCACAGCAGTAAATGTGGCAGGCCTGAAGGCCCAATGCAAAAGATGGCTTCCAGGCCTGACACTGCCCTGCAGATGCCTGACTGCATTTCGGACACTTGGCAACCAGACGGCATTTACAGCTCTTTGCAGTGCCCTCTGGTCAGTTTACATTTTTTGGGGGGAAAACCCTGGCATTTACTTCAGGGGTGGATTCCTGCCGGGATTACTACTGGTTCAGCATGCAAATATATATATATTTTTGGGATGGGTGATTGGGAATGGGAGGCATTGTATTAGGGCTAGTGCTCTTTTGATTCAATCTTCAATAAAAGCTATATGTTCCATCGGGGAACCATGAGGGGCAGGTAAATAGACAGGATATAAGCTGTTCCTCTTAATATTTTCTTCACTCAGTAATAAACAGCCACCCAATCACTCACAATGAACATTTAGCAGCTGTCAGGATATTCCCTTACAACCAGCAGCTATTCTGGAGATTGTCTTTATCCTCACAGCTCAACACATAATCCTTCAAAATACACAGTTTCTCTAGCCACACTCTTCTCTTCCTCCTGATGGAATTCCCTCAGCAAAGCTCCTGTTAGTTTTTTCTCATTCACCTGCTTTTTCTTGCAATGGGCAGTACTTAAGTCAAATAATAATTGAAGTTTCAAGCTCTTAGCATTAAGGACATAATAATAAGTCACCCTCTGTTTCCTTGATCAGTATAGTTGTGCTGCCATATTATTACCAATTTCTAATAAATATGGGGTATGCTATAGGCCAGATTGATGGCAAAGCATTATATGTTCTTCAAAGTACCTTACCCAGAATCTGATTTCTCATTACACTATTATGTTTAAAGTAATATTGGTACATGGGAAAGTGAGAAACCACAAGCAGAACACTGAGTAACAAAGAGGTCAGTAGGTATTCTAAGAAAGAATAACAGGCAACTTTCCACTGAAGTTCAGCTATCATTTCTGTCTAAATTCTGCTGCTCATTTCTCTGCCAACCATAACAGCAAATCCAGTAATTAAATTGCCACCAAATCTGCTTCAGTCAGCTGGAATGTAAAAGGTCGTTTTAAATATATGTGTATTTAATTCCAGTGGTTATTTTATTATGAAATGAATATCTTCTCTAAATTTATTATGTATTAAAAAGGAGGTAGTGACAGATTTTGTTTTCCTGGGCTCCAAGATCACCGCAGATGGGGACTGCAGCCAAGAAATTAAAAGACGCTTGCTCCTGGGGAGGAAAGCTATGGCAAATCTAGACAGCATCCTAAAAAGCAGAGACATCACCCCGCCAACAAAAGTGCGCATAGACAAGGCTATGGATTTCCCAGTTGCAATGTATGGCTGGTGAAAGTTGGACCATAAGAAAGGCTGAGCGCCAAAGAATTGAGGCCTTTGAACTCTGGTGCT